CACTCCATTCTCACATATCCCCACTCACCCTCCCTCCCTTTTCCCATATCTTCGTACAAATGCAGACCAGGCATCAATAGCTTAGTGGTTAGGCTACCAGACTCATGATAGTGAGATTGCGGGTTCGGGGGTTCGAGCCTCAGCTCGGTCGGACGTTGTGTCCTTGTGAAAAGCACTTTACACGCATTTCCCATTAGCCTGGTTTTTTTCGGAGATGGACGTTAAACTAGGAGGTCCTACCTCTTAAAATAACCTAATAGTGTTTATAGAGGCGTTAAACCTATACTGTTTCACCTTTTCAGACTGCGCGAGTATGCCCGTTTACGACAGCAAGCAGGGAACAGCTCTGGAGACTCCGGCGCCAAGAACTAAAAGTGTGACGTCATCACCTAGCCGTCTGTCTGACTGACTGGCCGAATATACCCTCTTTTACCGGGTTCGGAAATTTGTTCTGGAATTTTTTTTGCTGGTATCGATGAAGTGTAGGAATACATGAAATAGAAATGTAAAAGAAGTAGCTCAGGATACGGAAAAGTTGAACGTGTGTGAGTGGAATGAAAGGTTGGAAGAGTGTGTTCGTGGCCTTTTATCTTGTCTAGGGTGGGACAGGCAATGGTGGTGATGATCAAAGGTGAACGGTGATAATGGTATCGAATAAGCCAATTAGGTTTGACTAAATGTATAGATTGTGTTCACTTGGAGAATCAAAGGACTATGCAAAAGAATTCACAAAGTGAGTGTAATAAATGCCAAGACTGTTTTCAGTGGTTTTAAAAGAGACTATAAATAGTTGTGACATCCGAAAAAATAAGTGAAAACACAATTTTATAAAAGCCAGTCTCGATATTTGGCGGACAGAATAGATCTAATGCAGGCAAAGAATTATAACACTCTGTACTCATCTTACACTCTACAAGATAATCGATACCAACAGAAAAAAACCGGCTCAAATTTCTGCTTCCCATGTGTACCTGTGATGTAAACTATTAAGATCTCTGGACCGAAGAACTGTACATTTTATGCATACGCACCATGCGTTCTTATCTTGCTCAAAACTGCTTAAAAGTGCTCAGAACTGCTTACAGTTGCTAGGAGCTGCTTAGAGTGCTCGCACAAATTTAACTCTTTATGTCATATTTCTTGCTATATCTTAACTCTTAGTAAAGGCTATTCCACCTTTGTAAGCAGGCACTTTTGTCATCATAGTTCTTATCAGTACCATAAACTTCCCTAAAACTTAACTCGTATTGAACCTATTTTCATAAGATGACCACCAAACCGAATAGAAAGGAATGATCAAAGCAATTAACTTACAATTCGGTTAGAAATGGATTCCCCGCGTTTTTTCGGCTAGGGATTTGGTGGATATTTTGTACTGACTGTACTTAAACAACCAAGGGGTGCTGTGAACTAGCCGAGCTGGGGCGTCGAATACTAAGAGTTAAGAAAATTGCAATCATGACAAGGTGATTAAATATCTTTTTTTTTACTCAGAAGATATTTGAATATGGTTTGTAGTTTAGTGTATCTCTTTGTTGGGCAATATAATAATATGTTTTTTTCTTTCTTTCAGTAAAACGTAGTGTTCTATAGGAGGAAACACGTTTTTTTTCCTCGACAAGCTGTTCAAATGTACTGAGCCCAAAAAGCATTTTTTCAGAAGAGA